CCTAGATCAACCAACTGCATGATGAGGTAAAGATCTGATCGAGGACTTCAAGTAAGCCCAATTTTGAATTTTTTTGTGGATTTGCAATCCCTTGTAGCTGGTCTAGGGATCAGCACCAAAATTAGGAAGAATTGATGAGAGGGGAGTATGACTCTTCAATTTTGACCTAGGAAGTGGTGCTCTGGTTTTTTATGGTTTCTTGAGGTTTTCTGAAGAGGGTGGTTCAAGTCCCAGTCTTTTTGGAGACCTCTAGAGGGAGCGGCAGCCTCTTCTCTTTCTTCTCTTGCTCCACAAAAAAAAAAAAAAAAGAATCTTTGGAGGGAGGGGCTTCTAGGGTACCAGGAAGGTGTTTGAGATTTCTAAAGGAGATAAATCTCTTTCTTTTCATCTCAAATTGATTTCCTAATCTGTTCTGGGAGTTATGGAGGGTTGTGCAGTTGAAAACAAATTTGCAGGTGAAATGGGACTAGGGGAGGAAGTGCAATAGATCTCTTTGGGGCTGGGACCATCACTACAGTCAAGTTGGATGGTACAAACTACTTAGAATGGTCACAATCTAGAAAGGTGGCCATTGGAGCTCGTGGGAAATTGGGGTATGTCACCAGTGAAGAAAAGAAACCTAAGACTAATTACTCCCAGTGGGTACAGGAGAACTACAGAGTGATGACTTGGTTGTACTATTCCATGTTACCCCATATAAGTAAGAACTTTTTATGGGCTAATACAGCTAAGGAGGTTTGGGATGGAGCAGCAGAAACTTATTCATAGAATGAGAATGTTGCTAGAGCCTACCAATTGAGAAACCATGTGATTGCTACTAGGTAGGGAGATAAGTTTGTTGCCATTTATTTTTCAGCCCTCAAAACCTTATGGCAGGAGATGGATCATTTAGAGACTGTGGTTTGGGAAAATAGCAAAGATGCAACAACTTATCAAAAGTTGGTAGAGAAGAATAGGGATTTTTAGTTTCTAGCATGACTTAACCCTAAATATGACATTACATGACATCATATTCTTTCCAAAGACAGTGTAACTCTCTCTCAGGCATATGCCTTTGTATATGGAGAGGAGAGTAGGAGGAATGTGATGATGAGGAACCCAAGCCTTGAGCAGTTAGCTATGGTTAGCACAGTGAAGCCTAAGTGGAGTGGGAATAAGAGTGGAAATGAACCAAGGAAGGAAGACAAGAAGGATATGATCTATGGTTGTTATAAGAAACCTAAACATACTAGAAATACCTATTGGAAGCTTTACCCTAACCTTATATCAAGCCAGCTCAAAAACAAGAAGGGAAATGTGAATATGGTAGTGACTAGTGATTTATCAGGACCACCTACTACAGTTTTTCTAGAGTTTGTTGTAGCAGCAGCAACAAGGGTCGAATTGGTGAGATATGGGCAGTTTCTGAATCAGAGGGATACAATCAATTCCAACTCATTATCAAGTGGACAGCAAGGTGCAGGTGGATCAAGAGGTAGCCATTCTACTTTGTTTGGACATATAGGTAGTTCACATGCCACTACAAATTATGTATCCACTACAAGTAAGGGGGACCTCCCTGAATTATAGACTTAGAAGCCTCAAAACATATGACCAACACTTCCACCATCTTCTTACCATACCACCTCTACTCTGGCAGAGATAGAGTCTCCATAGCCGATGGACCACATGTTCTCATTGCTAGGAAAGGGTCTATCAAGGTAACCGATACCATTACTCTACCTTCTATCCTTCATGTTCCTAGATTGAGCACTAATCTTTTATTTGTTAGTAGCTTGACAAAGAATTTGAACTGTTTAGTGATTTTTCCACTTAGTCATTGTGTTTTGCAAGATCTGGAATCAAAGAAGACGACTGGGAGTGGTCATGAGGTGAATGTTTTCTATCTTCTTGATGCGCTTCCCAATCATCAGAATCATTATGTCAACGGGAACATTGAGTCAGAGCCAGTGGGTCAGATTATGCTTTGGCATAATCGGTTAGGACATTTGTCTTTTTCTTCTTTGTGTTTTTTGTTTCCAAAATTGTTTGAGTCTATCAATTTGACCAGTTTGGAGTGTGAGGGTTGCCAACTTGGAAAGCATTTTACACATTCCTTTCAAGCAAGCAATAAAAGATGTTCTTCTACTTTTGATATTGTTCATACTGATGTGTGGGGGCCATACCATATTTCCTCTATGGGTGGCTATTGGTATTTTCTTTTGTTTGTGGACGATTATTCTTGATACTCTTGGATATATTTGATGAAATCCCATGATGAGGTACCGTCTTTGGTTCAACAATTCCATCAAATGGTGTTAACGCAGTTTGGGGTACGAGTAAAAGTGTTTAGATCAGATAATGCCAGGGAATACTTTGAAAAAAGAAAAACCTGGCATCATACCTATTGGAGCATGGAGTAGTTCATCAGAGCAATTATACATACATTCCACAACAAAATGGTGTAGCATAAAAGAATAACAAACATATTGTGGAAGTAACATGAAGCATGATGTTGAGCTCTACAGTTCCAATTCTTTTTGGGGTGATGTAGTTCTTACAACAATTTTCTTGACTAATCGGGTGCCTTCTCGTGTTCTTGGATATAGCACTCTGTTCAGCCTTTTTTTTCCTGAGGGGGAGATGTTTCATATTCCTCTAAGGGTTTTTAGATGTGTATGCTTTGTCCATGTTCTTGGTCCTCACCACTTAAAGCTGGACCCTAAGGCAAAGAAGTGTGTCTTCCTTGGATATGCAGGAAATTAGAAAGGGTATTGTTGTTATGGTCCAATCTTCTGGAACTGATATGTTACTAGGATGTCACCTTTTTGAGTCCACCAATGTTTTAAAACGCGGAGGCGTGACGCGAGGCGTTCCCCTACCTAGAGGCGCGAAGCGTAGTTCAAAATGCAAGAGGCGTAAGCCTCCCAAACACAAGGAGGTGTAAGCATCTTTAAGAGGAGGGGGGTTAGGAGGAGGATGAAGAGTAAGAGGGGATCTCATTTTTTCTTTATTTTTAATAAAAATCTTTTATATTAAGAAGAATAAAGATGCATAAAATTAGTTGAAAGGGGGGTCTTGTCGAAGGGGACACAAGGARGTGTAAGCATCTTTAWGAGGAGGGGGGTTAGGAGGAGGATGAAGAGTAAGRGGGGATCTCATTTTTTCTTTATTTTTAATAAAAATCTTTTATATTAAGAAGAATAAAGATGCATAAAATTAGTTGAAAGGGGGGTCTTGTCGAAGGGGACACAAGGARGTGTAAGCATCTTTAWGAGGAGGGGGGTTAGGAGGAGGATGAAGAGTAAGRGGGGATCTCATTTTTTCTTTATTTTTAATAAAAATCTTTTATATTAAGAAGAATAAAGATGCATAAAATTAGTTGAAAGGGGGGTCTTGTCGAAGGGGCAGGGAGCAAACCACTTTCTTTCCCCTTATCTTTTCTTCCCTTCCCTTTCCTTTTCTTTTCTTTCTTTTTTCTCTTTTTTTCTTCTCTTTCTTTTTCTTTCCCTTCCCTTTCTTTTTCTTTCCCTTCCCTTTCTTTTCTTTCCTTTTTTTATTCTTTTTTCTTTTTTTTCTGTCTTTTTATATCAAATGTGCATGAGGCGCACGCCTCATGAAAAAAACACAAGAGGAGTACGCCTCAGAGGTATCAACGCCTCTGGCATACGCTTTAGAGCGTTTTGGGAGCGCCTCGCCCGGAGGCGTGCTTAGACACTCTAGTGTTTGACCCACTTTGCCACCTCCATTGCACCCTACCTTTCAGTGTTTTACACGACAACGCCTATAACAACACAGGGAGGTTGATTCCATAGCAGATGAACCCACATCACTCCCTATCAGCTCATCAGAGATTCCAGGTTTGACTGACACAAACCCATGTATGTCTCTTGTTTCCTCTGATGGTTTAGTTCCTATTGATACTACCACCCCTACTCCTAACACCATTACAAATGACCTAGATCTCCCTATTGCACTCCGAAAAGGAAAGAAGAAGTGTATTGCTCATTGCATCTCACACTATTTTTCTTACAGTGGATTATCTCCTTCCTACCAGGCCTTCCTTTCCTTCCTCGACTCTGTGTCTATACCCAGGAGTGTTAGTGAGGATCTTTCCAAACCTAAATGGAAGACAACTATGCAGGAGGAAATGAAAGCATTGATTAAAAATTAGATATGGGAGACTGTGGATTTACCTAATGGCAATGAGACAATTTGATGTAGATGGGTTTATATAGTGAAGTACAAGGCTGACGGAAGTATTGAAAGGTATAAGGCGAGGCTGGTTCAGTGATTTAAAAGGCGCACCTAGGCGCACAAGCAAGGCGCATTTTGGTGTATGCACCTCGCCCAGGTCCTAGGCGCACCTCTTTCAAAAGGCACGTGCCTGATGTGCCTAGGCGTGCGCCCAATGCGCCTTGCGCCTCAGCCCAGGCGTGCGCCTTTTTAAAATTTTGCGCAAGTTGGGAATGTGTGACATCTATTCCCAACTTGAGGGGGAGTGTTGAATTTTGGGCTGATATCACTTGTTTTTTATTTACATAGCATAGTAAGGGAGTTATTGGGCCTAAGGCCCATTAGTTTATTTTAAGTTAAGAGTGTTTATTTGGATTTTACAAGTAACCAACTTACTAAGGGCATACTTGTCATTGTATTCAGTTTTTACTTGTGAGTATATAAGCTAATGAAAGGGGTGGCCAGACCTAATTTTTGGCTTCTCCCATTCTCTTCAATTTCTCTCCTCTTTTCTTCTCTACATAAACCTTCTCTTCTCTTTCTTTTCCTCTTTCTTACACAGGTTTTATATCAAAATAGATCTTTAAAACTTTTCTACTACCCTCATTTCTAAGTTTCCTATTCATCCATTCCAACATTCCAAAAGAAGAAATATATAGATTATTGTCAAAAATATCCACAGCACAAACCAGAAATCTGAACTAAAAGAAAACATGATCGCATCTTCGACCTCAAGATGAATCAACCAATCCAATATAAAAGAGAACTGCTGTAAATGGAGCTACCTTTTCAAGGTGTAATTTTTGACTTGATAGTGCACCTTCCCTATACCTTTGCACATAGTGCACCGCAATGCTTGCCATCCATTGCAGGTCCTACAATTCCTGCACTTTGAAAAAGCAATTCTGAGAAAGAAAGCATCAAAGTTTAAACAAAATGCATTGTCATCTTCCATGAACACTAGCACTAACTTGATCATTAATGCATGAACCCAAAGTCTATATCCAATTTATCAGCTGAAATAACTCAGTTCATAGGCTCAAAAACAAAACAAAAAAAGGTTAAAAGGGGCACCACTCAATGTTATCCATATTGTCATATTGTAAAACATAAAAAGTGGATAAACTAAACAAAAAGTTTGTTTACACTCAAAATATGCTTTGACAAATTACAAGAGTGAGGAATCCCATAATAAGACACTTTCAGGGGGAGGAGGAACTTAACAAAGGAAAGTTTCATCCTGCTATCTAAGAAATACTTAAAGAAGATACAATGCAAATATCCTTAAAAGATATGTTCATGCAAGGATCATTGCATGAATATTTATCATTAGCACCATAATTCAACAAATTGTAATATGACTTAAATTGCATTGAAAGCATTTCAACAACAAAACCAATGCATCCCTATGTTACACCAAACCCTTTTGAGATAACTTGAAAGTAAATCAGAATGATGATTTGAAGTTATGGTTTTCTCCAAATTCCAGAGCACCTTAGAAGTTTTGATATTGTCATAAATTAGAAACCTTCAAGAAAGAACTCCTCAGGATTGTAAAATTATTTTGAAATTTGAATACGCTAATGCTAGGAGGAGAAAAAAGCTATACCCAAGGAAACTAGTTGAAACTTTAATGATAATATAGATGAGCACCTTTGACAAAGCACCTTCTTCCCCAACTCCAAGGCAATATCGTAAGTGCCAAGAGTAGCAACTGCCTGCAGTCAATAGATGGGAAAGTAAGAGCTTTTGCTGGCGGATGTCCAGAGGTCAACCCCTTTAACCAAACGATTAGTACAAAATAGAAATTATTCACCAACAGGAATAAAAGGGTAAGCCCAATGTTTAGGTGTATAAGAACTAACGGCAACATAGATCCTCAATAAACGACCAGAATAATAGTGTAATGCCGTGCTCTTGAAAGAATACAATAGCGGGACAGAATTCTCACAATATCAAATGACGCATTCCATCAAACCATTTAATCAATTCACATAAATTATTCAGGTGCAGTGCACTGAACATAACCTCTATCAACAGACAGACGAACAATCAAACAGGCAGCAACCCACTTAACCAAACAGTAAGTAATATCAGTGAACCGCTACAAATGCGACACATTCGGGATAGTTATTCTCTATCAAATAACGAATAAAAACGCAATGCACCAATTAACAACGTACCTAGAACAAATTTTCATTCGATTGTTAGAAAAGATACTGCAATGGGTAAAATGAACTTACAAATATTGCAGAGAAGGAAAGATGAGAAATGAACTCGGGAACACCGAAGCCACGGGGAGCAGAGCCGGCAATATCATAAGCAAGAGTGAAAGGAGACAAAACGAGCTTGATTGGGAACTCGCACAGGTCGATTAACTGCTGCCCGTATCGAGCCCTGAAGATTTTATAGTAAATGTCCGCATATTGCTTTACGACCTTCAAGAGGTGGCCGGTGCCTCTCGACATAACGAATTCCAAGCGCAACTCAGAAAGAACTTTGAGTGGATAAGCAGTGGGAGTTGCCGCGCCCTCGCACCAGAGTAGAAAGTTATATATATCCGGATTCACAGAGGGGTGACCCCAGCTGGTCTAGTTAAACGGTCCAAGATACCACCTACAACCAAACATTCTGTTTTTAAGGGGAAATTACAAACTCTCACCTGTACTCAAAGGCCGATGACAATATACCCCCTAACTTTTTATTTTCTACGATAAACCTCTAAACATTGTTTTGCAACAAACACCTAAACTTCTGGGTTCCAACGCTTTGCCCCTATTTTGGTAATTGGATTGACAAATAAGGGTAAACTTACTAAACTACCCGGTCGAAATTCAATTGGTTGAAAGCAAATGCTATCAAGAGGATGAAATGCTAAGGGTCCATTTGGTTTAGAAATAGGATTGGAATCATAATTAATCACCTATTTCTAACGTCTATTTGGTTTAGTCAGGGATTGGAATCAAATTCCAATTGTCGTTGTTTGGTTCATTTGGAGTTAGACTCGAAATCAATTAAAATCTTTCAATTTTGTATTAGTCTATTTATTATTTTATTGTTATTTTATTAATATTTTATGAATATATAATTATTCTTTTATTAGAATTTTAATAGTATTTAACTATTTAATAATTAATATCTTACTATTCATTGTTAATTTATAAATATTTTATTAATATATTATCATTTTATTGTTACTTTAATCATAACTTGTCATTATATTTTAGTAATATTTTATTATTATTTTCTTATTAGTTTGTTAATATTCTATTATTTTTTGTTTCATTATTTTAAAAATAATTTATTAATGTTTAATAATTAATATGTTAGCATTTTATTATTACCTTAATTATATAATATCAATATTTTATTTTCACTTATTTGTTATTATTATTATTATTTAATAAATAATTTGTTTGCTTGTTATTATTAATTTATAGTTTATTAATATTTTATTATAGTACTATTATTTTGTTAATATTTTATTATTATTTCATTAGCTGTTTATTAATATTGTATTATTATTATTTTATTATTACATTAATTGTATTATTATTATTATTATTATTATTATTATTATTTTATTTTATTTTTATTTTCTAATATTTTGTTAAGATTTATTTATATTTTATTAATAGTAAGCTTTGAGGGTGGTTGTTATGAGTTCTTTGCTTCTTGACAAGACTTTGGGATAGAAATTCCATTCTCTAGGGAGGAGCCTAGAATGGCCATTCCCCCAAGAATGGGAATCAAAATCCCATTCCGACCAAACAAACAATTAGAATCAAAATGGCTCATTCCAATTCTGATTTTAGGCACCTAGTATTCCAAGGAACCAAATGGACCCTAAATCACAATGGAGTTGTTTGGAACTGTTATCATTTTTCCATTGTCATTTTTTAAGAAAACACCCATGCAATGGTTTATCACATTTTCAAAAAACAGCAATGTTCTTTGTTTGGTTTCATTATTGCACCAAGTGTTTTTCATCACCACATCAAGTAATCGTTGCTAACAAGTAACAACTGTATGAAATTGAGATAATACCCTTTTTAACCTTTTTGGTGTTTTCTCAACCATCTTCTTTCTAGGCATGGCCATTTTTAGTGTTTTTTTCTAGAAAAAAAAAATGTCAACCAAATAAACAATGTATCTCCAAACCACTAAACACCAACATGGTACTGATTTATTATTTTTTGTGAAAACAGTATTAGTTCCAAACATCTTAATATCTCTTTTGGACTGAGTTATTGTGCTTCCAAACCCTTGCCAAGTAAGAAACAAAGTTCATCATTCTCCATATAAATCATGTTGAGAGAATGATTAAAGAAATAAATAAAGTGTGTATGTGTGTGAGAGAGAGATGGATTGGAAGAGCAAAATAATAATTTCATAAAATGACATAAGTTGGTGTTTTAGAAACAGTGTAAATTACTTAAACCTTCCCTCATGGTTTTGGTAAATATTTAAAACTTCTATATAACCATAAGACTTCTCCAAAAAACTTTTCAAACATTTGGGATAAATTATACTCATTGGCCCCTTCCGTTAATTTGAATGGAGAGAGGGTATTGAATTATCAAATACCCCATGCTTTTTTCATTTTATTGTTCGAGTAATATTATTTACAAACCAAAATAAACCTTCTTTGACCATTTACACATTTGATTCATGACCAAACCGTGGTCGAACTATTTCACCCAGGAAAAGGTCATATCTCAGGGTTCGACTTTCAAGTGGACCACTCTTTTGGAGAAACCGTTGAATATATATTGACCCGGGTGGTCGAATTAATAAAATGTTATTTAATTTTTTAAGTGAGTGTCAGCAAAAAGGATGTCGAGAGACAAGGGAGGGATTGAAATGAAAATTCAGATCTCGTATGTGTGTGAGAGAAAGAAATTGGAGAGAAACTAAGAGATAGATCTGAGGTGAGAACTGATATCAAATCTGCGGTCGCCGCTGCTGTCTCTTACCCTCGCTACCTCATTATTATTGCACAGTGAACCACCACCACCCCCATCTCCTCCTCTTTCTTCATTGCCTCCTTCCTTTATTTCTTCTTTCTTTTTCTTTCATTTTCTTTATTCCTTTTCCAACAACCACCTACTAGAAAAGAGCAATGACACACATACATATAACAACTACCTAAACTATTCAACCTGGACGACTGAACTGCTAACCCGGAAACCGGTGGTCAAAGTGGTTTCATTTTTAAGTCAGTTTTTAAAACCTTGATTGATTTGATTAGAAAGAAAGGGAATGAGACATAATCTCTGGGTGGGCAAAACCCTCTACATTGTTCTTCTCAAAATCAATCCCATATTGCCTTAGCAACTCAATCGAATTAGGGGCATATGCAAAGCAAGAAACATTGAACTTGAATTCCCATATGTACTAATTTTCATTTCCCAAATTAGGAAGGTTAAGACTAAGTTTGGAAAGAGTACAAATATAAATATGTAGAATGCAAAATCCTGTATTTTGTATTATTTTGCATGTATTTGCACCATACATATTTGTATTTGTACTCTTAACCAAAGTAATCAGCTCCGGTTTGAGGATAAGGTATTGTTTAGATGACTTGCAAGGTAGAATTTCTCATTGTCTGTAGGATGGAAGGCAATGGACTTCATATTAGAATTGGGGTCAATGGAAAACATGATCATTGATGATTTTGGTTGACTTCTACTCCCAATTTTCAAGTGAGTTCAAAATTTTAAAATGTTATAAGGTCAATGCTTTCAAACAGTCAATGACCTAGACGGCCAGACCATTCGAGATGGGAACCATCCAAGCAATTGGTTCCATTTCACCCTTAACATAGTCTTTGGCCAAAAACCATCGACTTAGCGACTCGTTGACTTGGGCGGTCGAACCATCAAGTCATTCAACCCGGATAGTGGTTTTGGCCATTTTTTATTTTAATTCTTTTTTTCAAGTTAGAATGGACTATCTGTTTGAACAACTAACCTGAAAACCAGTGGCCAAAGCGGTTTTAGTGGAAGATAGCCATGGAATTAAAGCCCTCCACCTAACCAATCACATTAAGAGGCGAGGTTGCAATTTAGGGATCATAATTTACCGTTGCTTTGGCCATTATCAAACTATTGAGGGACTTTAGATTGCTCCTCACAATACGGTACTTATAGCCCCTTGCTCTTTTTTTATTTTTGCTCCAAGGGCTACACAGCGGCGAGGGGGATAGCCCATCCCCCAACCTAGGTGCAAGTGGGATTCAATCCCAAGTCTCCACTACAACCAGCAAGTGGCACCTTTCCAGCCCCATATAGTTATGCATTGGGAATATCTTCCATGAATAAAAATATATGAAGTATGAAAATGTTTGCACAGCTGTGAGAACAGTGCAAGGACCAAATCTAATCTCTATGATGGATCACCATTTTCACAGCATTTCCATATAAACACGGTTTATGGTATTGAGGTTCCATATATCTTGACACTATGCACAGGTATGAGTAATTCATTAATTTAGAAACTTGTAATTCACATAGTTTGAAAAGGGGAAGGGGACTCACAACTTGTAATTCATCATCTACGGGTAATTTAGAAAGGGAAAATTCCCGATTAGTACCATGTACTTTGGGTCTAGTGCCACTTTGGTCCCTGGACTTAAAATGCAACAATTCAGTACTTGAACTTTCAAAACGTGCTAATTTAGTACCTGCCATTAAGCATCATTTGAAAATACACAAATACCCTTTGAGTGTTATCTAATTTTCTTTATTAACCATCTAAACGTTGACAAAAAATGAATAGTCACAAGTCCTTGCCTCTTTTATTCAAGAAAGTTGGGGTCACCAAAATGCCCATTGAGACATGACCCAACTTTCTTGAACAAAGGAGAAAAGGATTTGGGACTTTTTTTTCGTCAACGTTTTGATGGTTAATAAAGAAAATTAGATAACACTCGAAAAGGCATTTGTGTCTTTTCAAATGTCACTTAACGGTTGGTTAAGGACAAGTACTGAATTGGCATGCTTTGAAAGTTTGGATACTAAATTGTCATATTTTAAAGTTCGGGAACCAATGTGGCACTAGGCCCAAAGTATAAGGTACTAATCAGGAATTTTCCATTTTACAAAAATATAAAGCAATCATCAATTTCTGTTAGGTTTCTGACATGGATTTAACAAAGAGTCAATAAATATGATTAACCTCAAAATGTGAGGGGAGGTTTAAGTATTTCACCCCTTTATATGTGCACACGAGAATTGCATGAGAATAAACAAACGCCAAAGGGGTTGTGTCACTACTCACTACCCTATAAGTATAGGCCAAAGGGTGGCTGCCTACATATGATTTACTCTTTTAAACAGGATCATTTTTTCTAGTATTAAACCAAGGATTGTCCATGTCAGCAATTGTTCAATGGTCTTCCCTGTGTTTACTAATTTTCTTAGATTTGTTGACTTTTTGTAAAAATGAAAGAAATATATATTCTTTTGTAAAAAAATGAAATAAATATATTTCAGTCCGGGAAAATCTATGATGCAGGAAAAATATGGTATGGAAAGAGT